ATATTATTTTTTGTATGTCTGATGAGAATTTGTTTTTAATTCATTTTAAGATTGGTTGCCCCCCAAAGTCACTTGTGGAAATGGGCGGCCATATAAATGGAATAAATAAATAAGAAAGTCCATATTTCAAGGTCAACTCAATAAAGAGTTATTTGTTTGCATATGAGAGCCTCTTAACCTCGAGAAGCAAATATGAAACTTTTTTTAGTTCAACATGTTGCCAAGCCCAAAACCTGATTCCAATTTAATCTTAGTAGGTAACTTGCTAGAGACAAACTAAAAATAGAGGGGACTTTGCCTTTAAGCCCTAGGCAAGTGTTAAATTTATTATTCTTTCTCTTGAAAAGAGATGTAACAATGTACAGATAGTTCTCAACTTACAACCACAATTGAGCCCAAAATTTTCATTGCTAAGAAATATAGTTGTTAAATATATTACTGTAATTGTCAAGTCAGTAACAGGCTTGTTAAATGAATCTGGCTTCCCCATTGACTTTGCTTGTCAGAAGGTCCCAAAACATGACACTGCAACCGTCATATAAATACATATCAATTGCCAAGTGGCTGAATTTTGATCACATGACCACGGGGATGCTGAACGGATTGTGTAAAAAATGACCATAAGCTACTTTTTTTCAGCGCTGTTGTAACTTCAGTAACTCAATGAAGTGAAGAACTACCTGTATTTCAGTATATTCTGAATCCGTGTTTTTCAGATTTGATAACTTCTCTGAACTTCAACTCCCAGAATTCTCCAGGCAATGTGTTAGCTGGAAATTTCTTGGAATTAAAAGTCTATATATCCTAAACGTTGTCAAATTTGAAAAACACCATTCAGAACAAATGAGCATGCACATGTTTAAAAGTGATATTTTGGGAAAGAGCCAACTTGTGTGACTTTTGAAAATATTGAGGGATATTCTTTGTAGAAACTAATGCAGAATTACATACTTCTATTTGTGGCCATGCAAGCTTGAAGCAGGCAAGTAAGCAAAGTACATTAGAATTATCAATTATTAATTAGAAAAAAGTGTTTATTTGGAAAATATATATGGCTACCTATTCGCTCACAGTGACTTACAAACCGTAAAAGCACTGTATAGAAAATAAAAACAATGACCTCCCCCTTATAAACATTTTATAAGATCTACTGCAAAAAGGGTCAGAAACTTTCTGCACCTGGGGAAAACAGTGCCCACCATCATCAATGTGCTTATGGTTACTTCTCATGATCCCTGCCTAGTTTCCTATCTTTTAAGAGGTTTTATTTTTTAAAGATTCTTTTCTTGTAATCAATCAACAACAACCTGCAGTGCTGAAAAACGCCGGTGTTTACAGTCTTTATTTCTAAAAATTCTAAGAATGCATTTTGTCTATAAAATGAAAAAGATGTTGTAAAGGCCATTCTGCAAGTATAAGAGTGTAGCAGGAAGCAGCCTTGCCAGTTTAGTTCTGCATAAATGGGCATTTTATTATCATACCTGCTATAGTAGCTATTTTGTGAAAGCACCCACAAGATGGTAACAACTTTCAGTATATTCCTATGGTCTCAAGAGATTGTTTATTGCAGTAAGCTCATAACAAAGAAAGCCATTCAAACACAGCCATAACTTACAATAAACTTCATTTGGTGTCAGTGGAATTACTTCTGAAGTTAATATTTTATTATTAATAAAGATTTGAATGTGAAGTAAGCTTTGAATCTCAATAACATCTGAGATTCATATTTCTTCTTACAGTGTTGGATCCAACCAAGCTCCAGTTGAAGAAAGTGCTGCTTTGGTCACGGACCCTACAGAAAGAGAATTGCATCCATCTTCATCAGAGCAAACAGTAAATTTGGGTTTGACCTCTTGGAAGAATTGGAAAAGGTCTTCAACATCTATAGAAGGAGGTAGTGTTTCTGAGAAGATCAGGCATACTGTTCCTATAGAAGAACACCTGGAAAGCTCTGATAAGGTTAGATTCAANGTATATTAATGACTAAGTGGCTTATAAATTTCCAGATCAGTCTATACTTTAGATAACAGCCATCTAACAACTAAGCAAAATGTATTTTTGTCCATCTCATCTATGTATTTTGTTCACCACTTCTAATACAAAATGTATTTTTGTCCACCTCATCTAAATAGTAATAGCTTACAAACTTTTTCTGTGTATTCTAATATCTAAAGTAACAGATGACAAAATGTCAGAAAAACCTAGAGAAGAGCAGAAAGTTGAAATGAATCTCCAAATGGATGAGCAGCTTGCTAAAATCAGCACTTTGGGACTGTATGATTTACATTCTGTAAATGCTGGCCCCACCATGCAGGAAAATAATATGGAAAGGTATACATCCCACTACAGTTGTATTTTTATTATTTCTCAAGTGTTTGGGGTGATGTTTCATAATATGTAGTACATTGTTTTGTGAAACATAGATGTCTGCATGGTGAAGTTCTCCAAAATTACTGGGAATATAGTTATAAAGGATGTTTTATGTTTTCTAAAAAAACAATCTTCAGTCTTAATATTTAAATATAAATGCTCTTAATTTTCTTCAAATAAGTTTAGATGCATGAGAGTAATGAAATATCTTCTTAAAAGAGAATTGGAATTCACGTTTCTTCATAAACCACCATGTTCCTTACTATCTACATTTCTTCAATTGTGTGGTGCCATTGTTATATAGAATGTTTGTAAACTCCTGCCATTCATTTTAAGTCGTATGGTATAAAAATGTTTTCGAACATTTTATCGGCAAACAGCATCTAGATTAAAACTATTTTTATTTTCTTGCAAAAGTGGAAACCCGATACAAGAGATTTGTGAAATTGCATCTGAGTTAACATCTCCAAAACGTTCTCAAGAAACAGCAGCTTGTTTATCTGAACCACCAGATAAACTCAATATAAAGAGTAATATCTACGCTTTTGAGTCTGCTGAACATCAGTTTTCTACAGCTGAAGTTGCACAAGTAAGAAGTGTTAATTAACTGAAATAGCTACATTTTGGAATGTAGTATAAAAGAAAAACTGTTGCTAAATAGCTGTATATACATTTACAACATTCACGATATTTTGTTAACCATATTGTAGTTAAATTCACCATAGTATATTCTGGTTAATTATGTTGAGAGTTTTATGTGTGTTTGTATATTTATGGCTAGGTTGCTAATATTAAAATCTGAATTGTACACTTTTAGCACTTATTCTTTTTATGCTTCCTTTCCAGTAAGCTATGCCTTTTTAGTAAGCATTACTTTAGCACTGATTTAAGATCGTAGTTACATTTGCTTTGAAAAGCCATGTCACTATTCTTTCAAAAAGTGATTTAACTTTTCATTAATGAACAAAGTGTTAGAGGAAAAAAGGCATTTGGATTTAGATGAAACTACTGTAACTACAATTATTGAAGGAATATTGTTTTTAAATTATTGCATATTATTTTTCCGAGCAAAGGCTGTGCTATAGTTGTTTCTAAATACCGCAAATGAAAGGCAAATATGCTGTATTCCATGCTTGATTAATAATATATTTTCATTTACAAATGATTTATGTTGTGTTCTGACACTTGCTATTTTTCTAGTTTGTTCATAATTTTATTTATTAGGGGCTTTACCCGGCTTTTCCTTGAATTCCTGGGACAAGAAGAGCTTTATGTGATATCTGACAGCATGCATAAACATATGCAATTGTTTTAGAGTTATATATTCTGGGCACTAGAATTATTTGACATGCTGGATATACTCATTGTGATATTTTTATTCTTAGACTGAAGGAAACAAGAATGACACCATTTCAGCAATGACAGAGATGAGTGCAGGTATGATCTAATATTTAATTTTTTATCTGAACACAACCTTTATTTACAATTTAATTTTTCTTATAGGACATTTTTGGGATTTAAAATAAAGTATCCTTGCGTTTATCCTATTTGCATATTTCCTTAATACTACTACCATGATCTGACAGAAGCAGCATAGAATAATTATTGAGAGGAAGGAGTAAAGTGAGACTTAAGTACAAGATATAGACTAATGAGAATGATCAGGGGACTTGAATGGCAAGAGAGAGAAAAGAGCAGAGAGACACAGAATGTTTTAAGCAGGTTAATATCTTACAGGAGTGGTAAGCAAATATGCTTACCAGAATAACTTGGGTTATCTGGTTAAGCATGCCTACTTTTCCTCACAGGATTTGCATTGCTCAGAAATGCAAACACATGGTGATTTATAAGTAAATAAGTATATAAGAAAAATTGAATGTTTATGTTCTCAGGGTTTATTTTTTCTGTTTTTTTATTGATACCCTTGATAGTAAGAAGTGACATTACAGATTTCGTAGATGCAGAGGAAGAGCCAGGGTTCATTCTAACACTGGTGGAAATCACACCTGATTCTATGGAATATAATGGTGTCCCTGCTGTGCTTTCACATGGTTCTGGAGAATTGCTTCCGCCACCGATACTTTTCACCTCAGATAATATGGACTCATTGGAACTGAGAAGAGATGAAAGGTAAATGTTAAATATTAATGGCATCTTTAGCATTCAGAGGCTAACTTTTGGAATGTTTTAGGACTAAACACTGGATTTTGAGCCTAAAACATCTCTTGATGCTGCCTGCCTGGCCTAAAATTCTCCTTATTTCTTGGAGATTAACAAACCTTGGTTTTCTTAACCTGCCAAGTGAGATTTCCATGCCATTAATCATGGTATGCATTTCAGGGAGTGGGCAGCACTGTGTTATGCTTGTTCCCCTTTCTCAGAGGCTGGTTGCAGTCAGACTTTCTATCTGTCCAATCTGGCCCAGCAGAATAAGCATGCTTTGGGTTCTGTTGGCTAAGGAATGGTAATTGTCAAGGCCTAGAAAACATGTTTTTTTTCTCTAAACACCTATACCTACAGGTGGCACACAGAACCATTTGTTATGACATGCGAGGCNTGGCAATTGTAAAGATCACTGACTTGTTGATCTCGTCTTAAAGCACTGATCCCCTGCCTGCTCCATTGCTTTGTCAATTCCCTCCTTCTTGCCCTGGAATGAAGGTCAGCTGGTAGGGATATTGCAGACACTTTGCCCTAAGCAGTAGGCTGATTTCCTGATTTCCTCGCAATTCCTTTCCTTTCTATGATTTATGTTGACACCAAAATACACTTAACCCAAAAAATCCCTTGAAAGATTACAGCGGTTGTATTTCTCAGTAGTTTGTTCTTCTCATTTAAGGCTCCATTGTCTCCAGAAATATCACCAGTTCTCAACCTAGATTAAGTCCCTCCCCTCCCCCAGTTTCTTTTTATCCTTGAGTGTTGTCAACTGACAAATTAAGCCAAAAAGGAAACTTTAGGCTACTGTTGCTAGATGATGGTGATGCTGCTTTTGCTTTTGGAAAAATAAAGAACAGGTTCATAATTCAATTTTGACTTCAGTAAGCAATCAACTTTATCGAGAGCAAAATAGATTTTTTGCCTCCAAAAGTGCTTACTTTGCTGTGAGTCTCAACTATTCAACAAACTGTTCTATGTTGCCTAAATTGACCCAGTTCCAACCCAAATTCTCCTATATAATACAAGTGGGCTTAAAACTCAGGGTTTAACTCAGGATTTTTGGGTGAGTGGGTGTGTATTCAAGTCTCTTTTTTCCACACCTCTAGTGACTACCTGAACAAGTCCCTGCAGGGTTTTTTTTTTGGCAAGGTTTTTCAGAAACTATTTACCATTGCCTGCTTCCTAGAGCTGATAGAAAGGGGCTGACTCAAATTCAACCAGCCAGCTTTGTGCCTGAGAAAAGTCTAGAACTCATAGTCTTCTGATTTCTAGCCGAATTTCTTAACTTCCATCGCAAACTAATTTTCCAGGTGCTCCTTTCTCTTCCTATTTTCTCCACAGCAACAACTCTGTGAGGTGAGCTGGGCTGAGAGAAAGTGACTGGCCCAAGGTCACCCAGTTGGCTTAATGCATAAGATGGGAGTAGAACTCAGTCTTCTGGTTTGCTTATAGTTAGTCTGCCTGTCTTGCGATCAGTTCAAAATTAATTTAATTTTAGATTTTTTCAAAGGAGTCCTACTTGTGGGTATGTATGCTTAAGTTCATGTGCCTTGTTCCCATGACAGAACCTGCAGGCTAATGACTGAAGATCATATCTAGTCTTCTGAGCAGCACATGGTTGTCAAATTAAAGAGAAGAGTGATGCATAGAGAGCTTTGTGGCTGTGGCAATTAGATTGTCTGGAAGGCTGTGTTAGAGAATGGGAAGGCTGTGAAAATAGTTGGTGACTTGAATTCTGTAGGAACTGATGGTGGGTATGGTCTGGGTATATAGCAGTGATGGCAAACCTTTTTAGCATCGAGTGCCGAAAAGGGCGCACACATGCACTCGTCTGGGCTGCAACCTGGAAGAGGAGCTGCCCAGGGCGCATGTGCACACCCAAAAATGAAGTTTCAGTTTCCGACGCGCACATGCACATCATCAAGCTACTCTACTGGGTTTCTGGTGCGCATGCGCGCATGACAATCAGCTGGCCGGTGCACATGCTTATGCAGGAAAATGGAAGACCAGCTATTCCAGTTTCCAGCACTGCTTTACACATGAAGGACAGCTGATCATCGTACGTGCATGCACACCAGAAACACGGAAGAGAAATGGGTGACGCCACATGTGCCAGGTGACATGGCTCCATGTGCCATTTCAGGCATGCATGCCATAGGTTCGCCATCACAGGTATATAGTCTTTAAAATGGTTAGGAAGAAGATTTGAGGAAAAGATCAAATTGAACAATTTGTCTAAGAACCAATCTACTTGACTTCATTTGTACATCGTTCAGGAAAAAAAGATGATATTGTTTCTCAACTGTTGCACATTTATGGCACAACTGTTGCACATTTACTCTGACAAAAATGGGCCAACATGAAAATTCTCTGGTCAGACCAACTGTAACACAAAGTATGGTGCATACTTGAAGAAGATGCAGGGGAAAAAAGATGATGTTTGCTCTATTTGCCCTTTCTTGTTTGTCCTCCTCTGCAAATTTAAGAGATGGTGAAAGATAAACCTCTGAGATAGAATAGATATAAATGTAATTTGGTGGGATAGTAAGTGTGCATTTAATTTCTAAAATCCTAAGACGTGTTGAATACACAGAACTTGTAGCAGACTTGTAGCATATGTTCTTTGTGTGATTAATAATTAAATTGTTAACACTCAGTTTCTATTGTCAAACCGAAATAGAAGCAGTTATGTTTGCTGTGACCATGTGACATTAAGAAACATTTAAGAATCCAATTACTTCATACGATTCAACTAAATTTAAAGATCTAGTTTATATAGACTGCCCATTCATGGCCTTGCAAAAATGAGTTTGAATTTATTCAAATTTTCTCAATATTTGATTTTGGGTTGATCATTGTTTAGTGTTACATTCAAATTGGCATGCTAGTTTGCTTCAGAATATAATTTCAGTTCAGATTTGTAATTTTCCAAGTTGAACAATAGCCTATTGTGCTTTGCTGATTCACATGTAAATTAAGGAGTTGAACACATGAAGGAAGGGCCAGAAATTGTATAACTGAAGCTTGCTTGAACAATCTTGTATCAAAGAAGTCTCGTATCTCTGCACCTGTGTATCTTCCAAGCAGAGATCTTTAACTTTGCTGTAAATAAAAATCTACCTTTGAGATTGTTGGGGATTTTTTAATACCAAAAAAACCCTCAAATATTTTTGCTTGTTTAAGGATTTTAATACAAATATTCCCTTGAATCCTGATTATAATGCATAAGCCTTTTTTCATTTGACTGGGCGAAATTATAATTTTTATTTGGATGTACAAAATATAGTTTCAAGCTCATTATGCCATATATTATTCCATACAGTATTTAGTTCCTCATTCTGACCTTGGCTTAATCGTGAACAAAGCTTTGTTTATATAGATATAATAACTGGTAATAAGTTACTAGTTTCAACTGGTACAGAAAGCAGTGGCATGGGCAGTTTGTGTGCTCCCAGAACAGCATATGTCACACCTCTACTCTGAGAGCTGCATTGGTTTGTTTCTAGTTAAATTCAAGGTACTGTTTTTTTACATCAATACCATCAATCTCAAGAGATTAAAAGATCCTCCTCTATGTGAAGAGTGTCAAACTCCTTTTAGTCACGGTGGTGTCACGTGACGTATTGGGACTCCCCCCCCCTTTGCTAAACCGGGCATGGGCTTGGCCAGCAGGTGATGTATCTGGCCTGTGGGCCACGGGTTTGACAGCCCTGCTTTATGTGATATATGCCACATATACTGCAATGTTCCTCTGGATTCTAAGTAGGACAAACAGATAAAACTTTGTGCAAAAAAATTAATGGACATAAGTTTGACACCAGGAATCGAAACAAGTAACTTCTGAGCATTTTATCTTTCCAGGATAATCTGTTACAGATCTTAACATGACCATCTTGGAATAAATCCATTTAAGCTGCATTATTGAGCAAGCAATTGCTGAACTCACATACATCAAAAAATCTCAGACTACTTCGGACAGTCTTAACAAACAATATATATATATATTTAAAACATTACAGTTGTTAAAAGGCTTGAATCTTCATTTGAGGCCATTAAGTTTTCCTGGAAGCAAACTTAATTTACTTGGAAGTAAATTAGGATTCTCAGCCTAGGAAAATGTATCAAATGAAAAAGAATGGATCTATTATTTTATATCCAGTTGCAATTACCATATTTTTCAGACTATAAGAAACACTGGAGTATAAGACGCACCATGATTTTGAAGTGGTAAATTTTTAAAAAAAATAGTTTTTGCACTCTGCAGACGCTTTGGGAGGCTTGTAGAATGCTCCTGAGGGTTGGGGGGGGGGGCAAAAACGAGCAAAAACCTGGGCCATTTTTTGCAAAAAAAGGCATGCAGAGGCTTTGGGAGGCTTGTAGAGTGCTCTTAGGGGCTGGGGACAGAAATGAGCAAAAAAAAGGCCTGTTTTTTGGTCGGTTTTGCCCTCGCCATCCCCAGGAGCACTTTGCAGGTCTCCCAAAACCTTCTGCATGTCCATTTTTGCAAAGGGGGAGGGTTTCAGTAGGGCAAAAATGCTGTATTCAGTGTATAAGATGCACCCAGATTTTCACCCTCTTTTTTTGAGGGAAAAAGGTGCATCTTATACTCTGAAAAATACGGTATTTAGTAATTATGTTTAAATAATATGTTTTGAAACTGTAGCTTATAAAGCTTAAATAATACATATAGGACAGGAGAAAAAAAGTATATCTTTAATTCAATATTTTTTCTAACTAACTCATCTTGGATAAGTGTGTACATTTCCTTAACATATAATTATTTCTCAACAGGAAAATTATGAGCGAATGAAAGCTTTAGTAACAGAGCTCAAAAGACAATCTGAAAAAATTAGATTAGGTATGTATGAATGCATTATTTTTCTTGTCTAGTTTAATAGAAAGAAGGACTAGGGGAGACATGATAACAGTGTTCCAATATCTCAGGNCAGTTCAGCGGTTCTAATCTCACCGGCTCAAGGTTGACTCAGCCTTCCATCCTTCCGAGGTGGGTGAAATGAGGACCCAGACTGTGGGGGCGATATGCTGACTCTGTAAACCGCTTAGAGAGGACTGAAAGCCCTATGAAGCAGTATATAAGTCTAACTGCTATTGCTATTGCTACTTTACTATTTGCAAGCAAGCCATGTCTCTTTTATATTATATCAGAAAATGTAATTTTTCATGAATGTCACTTACAGAACTACCAGTGGAGGAAAAAGAGCAGCCTGCATCATCTCTGAATGTAGGGACTGCATTGCTTGGTGAAACAGATAGTGAAGCTGAACTTGTGTCAAGAAGGCCTGGTGCAGAAAAAGCAGAAACAAACAAAGAACAAACACTCTGTGTAGCTTACAGTTCTGAACAATCAGACCAAGTTAGAAATACAGAAGCCCTTCCAAAAACATCATTACCCAGGTATGATTCAAGCATCATTTTTACTTGGTTATATCATTTCCTGATCCTATAATCTTTTGTTTAATATTTGCAATGGAGAAATCTAGTCTCATTAAATTATAACTACTCAGCCTAAATTAACCATTGTTCTATTTAAAGGAACAATCTTATATCAATGATAAAATTTCCTATTTTTAACTTTCACTAAGATGTTTGTTTTCTTACTGTTGCTCCATCAAAGCTGTATTCTGTATACATTCATTTAATTATAAATAATGTCTATTTATGTTGCTAAAGATTCTCTAAATTTGCTATATCCCTACTACTGAGCATAAATAGCATAGTAGTTCCAGACCTATGGAAAAGGAATTTATTTATTAAATAATTTATTTCAGGGGATTTCAAATCAATAATCAAATTCAGAGGATTTTTATATACTTTTATAATTTTATTAATTTACTACATTTTGTTACATTAATTTTAATTTTTTTAATATGTCATACCAAAGATCGCTGGGATTTCTATCTTTAATCTGTAAAATTAATACTGATGAAAAGATAGCTGCTAAAGAAAACAACAAACCTCCCCAGAAAGCCTGTATGTTGATTTCTGAAAATACCACTGAATGTCCAGCTTCAACTTCCAAAGACAACAACACAGAGATTCAGGAATACAGTTCACTACCAACAACCATGCTGTCACCTTCAAAATATGAGAGTGGAAGCTGTTCTTCTGTTCAGGTATAGATGAATATCTTTATAAGAAACATGATCTGTTAATGGTACTAGAAAGTTGGGAACCAATTCTTGCCATTTTTCTCTTGCTATCTTAATTATCTGCATCAGATTCTCCAGAAGACATTAGACAGAATGTTTGCAGCCCTCAGAGAAATATTTCACTGGTGATCAGAAAAATACCTCTGGATACAAACCTTTGATTAATTTCATAAGATAGATGTCACAGGATGATTTGTATAGAAAATCATATTGTAAAACACAAACAAAATTGCCTGTACCGCTGCATGACTAATTCAAACACCTGGCATATGATACTTTTACATAACTATTAAACAGACATGAGATTGTAAAATGTTTATTCTTTTTTAGGTTTTACCTGAGGAAGAGGTTTCTGTTAAGGAGCAAGAAAAAGAAGAGCCAATAAGCATTTCAGAATATTTCTTTAGTGATATTTTTATGGAGGTGGATGATTCAGAATAACCATGAAGATTATGAGATGATTGGTTTCTAATAATCCTAGAAGCAATGTAATATCTTAATTAAACAAATGATTTATGTTTAATATATTAATATTAATATATTAAGAGGAAACTTGTTGAATGAGAAATATTTTCTTTTATTCTGAGCAGTCTGATATTTTTGAAACTGATGAACAAGTATGTTAAATGTTAAGATGTACATGATCAGAAAAGCTGTGTTTTTGTTTGAATTATGTTACATTTTTCTAAACATGCATATTTAGAAAGATATAGAAATGCAATGAGGAATGGCAGAATGCTCATATGCCATGTCAACACTATTTATGTAAATAATATTTGCTTCTTTTTGTGAAGTAAATCTTTATGGAAGGGAGAATATTATCTCTAAAATAAACAAATTCTGGACATTTCAACGTAATAAGTACGTTATAGGTAACGAAATCTGAAGTCAACTTATTTTTATGTATTTTTATAATGAATATATGTGAATTGTTTCAAAAATAATGTTTAATGACTTTAAATGTACAGACATAAATGTGAAAAAATATTTAAGTTGAATGTACAGAAGGATAATTATTCTGTGTTAATTCTGTTCATCCTGAAAATACATAGCTTCGCTAAATTTTATTTAGTACTAAGTTGCTAAATTTATGAAGCGATGAGCTGCCATTTTACAACCCAGGTATACCAGTGAAGAGAATTCAAATCAAATGTATGAGAGAGTAAGAGTTGCCCCAACGTCATAAATACTCTTATTTTCCGCTTTTTTGTAATTTAATCCCCCCCCCCTTATTGCCCTGAATTACTTGTTTAATAACTCAAGCTATACATATACGGTATTCCATTTCTCATTGGATTTTTTTTCTTTTTGATCTGTAGTATGATTAGGACTGAAAAAAGGAACCCTAAAAGTTAAAATAACTTTTAAATTAGCTATTGGATCCTAAATTCAATTAGTGATTGGAGAATTTTTTTTCTCTATATATTTCTTAATCTATGCAATATTATGAAAATAATTGTCTGCATCTACCATTGTTCATGTATACCATTTTGAATAATTAAGAAGCTATTTTTATTTCGCAAATTTATTCTGTGCAAATGTGACTGTAGGTAGACATTGCATTATTGCTAGATTTCACATGAAAGGTATTAGCATTTTTAAAAATTCAAACATAGACAATTGGTTGGATCCAGATTTTTAAAAAAATTACAGTTAATATTTGTCATGACCAAAGATGATTTTATTTCAGTGCCTCTTCTCTAAAGGTATCCAAGTCAGTATTCTAGTTATTAGTAACAAACTCAGTACTCTATGAGACTTAGATCAAATATTCAGTGGTAAGAATTAACCCAAATAGTTCCACCATAGAGCAGCCTGGGTTCATATTAACATATGGAAGAATATATCCTCAAAAATCCAAAATAATTTGCTGTAATAATTTTAAATTTCAATGAAAAAAATGTAGCATAAAAATCTTATTAAAGAAACCAAGCTATAAGGTGCCTTACCTTTCCTTGCTAAGTGGAAAGAACAAGAAGATCCTGTTAATGTTTATTATAAACTATAGTATGTTTTCTTGACAATGTTTACAAAATTCTTTAAAATATACAGGTTCCTTTATAGCAAAATCAATATATTTACTGATGACAGAAATACAAATAACCTTGGTTAATTGGCAGAACATCTCATTTTAATTAATATGCAAAAAGGGTTCCTTTTGTGAAAAGTTTGATACATATTTTCAGTGATATGTAATGTTCACGTGAAAGCTTTCTCTTTCAAAGAAAGCAAGCATATATATGTAAATTATGTGAATAAATTTTTATATGAATTACATGTGAAAGTTTCTCTTTAATAGTTCATGGAACTAGAACATTCAACAAAATTAATTATATATCTTTAATTGTTATATTACTCTATTTTTACACATTAAATTTCCTTATCAGTGAGAAATAGATTGGAAATTAAATATTTGAACTATTACATACTGTATAGTTCAATATACAGGTTCATTATTATATTTGAAACTGGTTCATCAATCTGTCTCTTACATTATTTTGTAGAATTGGCAGTCTTATAAATATGCACTAATTTAAAATAATGATTCTTTAGCCTATAAATTAATGTGAATATTTTTAAAAAAGTAAGTCTGATCCGTTCATTCATTTGAAGTGGTGGTTTGGTACTACTCTGTAGGCAAAGTTGAGTCACAGGATCTTTTGAATTCAGAAGCAGTGACCACACAATCTCAGTCATTAGGGCTTTATTCCAAAGTAGTAAACATAAGACAACAAATATTCATGAGTACTGAAGAATATAGCTAAGATAGCAATCAAATTGTAGGCAGAAATGAAAGAATATTCCAGAATATTGAAGAATACAAGATGATAAAGAAAGACCTTCCGTCCCTTTTGCCAGTGAGAGAACCGCAAAGAGATAATGGTGGGCAGACCACTTCAAAGCCAGCCAACATACATGCACCACCTTCCCATGAGTCTGCCTTTCGTGCTTTTTAACTAGCCTATACTGAAGTTGCATTCCATGCTTTAATAGCCTATACAAGCTATGAATCACCAAAATTTCACCCATTTTAGATGATCTCATCCCACTGGAGTTTTCAGAATACAAGTTAATCATCTCTTGCACTTAGAATGCTTTATCTACTTCTGCAAAACTGAGATCATCAAGGTTAAAAAGGATTTGTTTATATCGTGATGAGACAATCTGAAAGTTAAGAAGTATGTTTCTCAAAATTGGACTGATGATGAGAAATCTTTGTTAATCATCCCAATTTACACAGATGACCCACTAAGGACAGGACAAAACACAATTCTTCATTATTTGCGGTAGCTACTACAAAAATGTAAATGCTGAATTAGTGAATACTATACCATCCTATTAGGAAAATGCTTGTTTATAGTAGAATAGAAACAAGAAGGAAGAACATTGCTTTGTTTGACCTTAAGTGGGAAATTGCATGCAATTCAATTTTTTGCTGCTCGTCACGTGTCCGCAAATGCCTGAAAAATTACACAAGTATTGATTTTGGAGCTACAAATAAAGGTAAGCAAATTCACACATATTAAATCTGAATAATGATCAATTGTATAATCCAAGTATAACACTTTAGTGACTAAAAGGAATGCTTATTTCTGTATTACATATTCAACCATTACACAGAATAGGTTTGATGTACCATGCACTAAGGAAAGGTGATACATACCACTATTCAATTATTTATTTATTTATTTATTAGACTTATATACCGTTTCTTAGGGCTTTCAGCCCTCTCTAATTCCTCCTTGCCAATCTGAAAAATGGTTATCCAATCTCTTCTTAAAAACTTCCAGTGTTGGAGCATTCACAACTTCTGGAGGCAAGTTTTCCACTGATTAATTGTTCTGTCAGGAAATTATCCTTAGTTCTAGGTTCTCTCCTTAATTAGTTTCCACCCTTTGGTTATTGTCCTGCCCTCAGGTGCTTTGGAGAATATATTGACTCCCTCTTTTTTTGGCAGCCCCTGAGACATTGGAACACTGCTACCATGTCATCCATAGTCCTTCTTTTCATTAAACTAGACATACCCAATTTCAGCACCTGTTCTTGATATGTTTTAGCCTTTAGACTAAGGCTTAAATCCACGTTTCCACCTCAGGGTTAAATCTACCCTCAATCTTCCAGTAAGATCATTAGCATTACATTTTATCAAGTAAAAACAGTGTTTATTGAAACTACTAGGTGATCACTGGATATAGAAGCTAAGAATTTCATTATATTCTGCACAGATTCATTCAAATATCTTTATGGTACCGTGTTTCCCCGAAAATACAACAGGGTCTTATTTTCTTTTTACCTACAAAATATAGCTTGGGCTTTATTATGGGGGGAGGGTTTATTGTTTTGGGGTTGCTGGGCGGCTGCTCTCTTGCGAGCAGGCTCCCAAAGAGCCGGGCACAGCCTCATGGACGAATGGCTGTGTTGAGCTGTTGCAGCAGTGCAACACAACAGCCATGAGGCGACCACGCTCATGAGCAGCCACCCGGCAACCCCCTTTGCAGTCAGGCACAGCGCCATTCACTGACCTAGGGGTATTGCCAAGCAACGTGAGCACCTGTTCNCCATCCAGCCACCTCATTCTCTGTTGTCCCTTTCTTCTTTTGCCCTCAGTCTTTGCCTCTTCTCCAGTGAGTCCTTCCTTCTCATTAGGTGGCTAAACTAATTGAGTTTCATCTTTAGGACCTGGCCTTCTAAGGAGCAGTCAGGGCTGATCTCCTCTAGGACTGACCGGTTTGATTGCCTTGCAGTCCAAGGGACTCACAGGAGTCTTCTCCAGCATCATAGTTCAAAGGCTTCAATTCTTTGGCGCTCAGCCTCTCTTATCGTCCAACCTTCACAGCCATAGGTTATTGTATTACAAAGTTAAAGAGTACGTAACTGCTAATAATAATCAGGTAAGAATGCTTCATGTGATTAACTTACAAAATGTTCTTCTTTTTCTTCTAGATCGCCATTCCTGGAGTTCTCCCAGTTTGCAGGTTATCAGCTGTATGGTAATGAAGAAGTGCCAGCAGGAGGTATCATTACAGGCATTGGGCGAGTATCAGGGTAAGAACAGCTTTTGCTATATTGTTGGTTTCATTTCTGTTTTTTACTGTGGTACTTTAATTTCCTTTCCTTTCTCGTATGAGTCATTGATATTCAGAAGTATTGTATTACCATTGTATATTGGCAATCCTACTGAGCAGTTTGTATTGTTGAGATATTATCAAGCCTTTATTGAGCTTCATGGTTAGGTAGGCCAGTCCCATCTTGTCCTTGCTGCCAATGGCTGTTAAAAAGTGTAGTTGTGCAAGATAACTGGAAAGCCACTCCATATCAAACAAGAAGAAATGATTCAAATGCGGCTGGTTTTTATTAATACATCTGAAGAAGTTGTAATTTAATACGTAGATGATTGTGCCCCATCTGACTTGGTAAACTACAAGTTCTAGTAGCCCAGCTAGGGTTGTACCAGGCAACCAGGATGACCAAAGGTGAACAATGCTAGGAGTAGTAGTCTAGTAACAGCTAGAATGCCACAAAATATCTGTCATGGCTGTATAGTAATATGTCTGCATAAAACAATGACAGATAATTTTGTTGCTATTAGAACAAGCAAGGTGTTAAATAATGATTTAATTGTTTTATTGTACATCTGCCCAGAATCCCTCTCTGTGGGACATAGGTAGTTCAAAAATGTGAAAAATAATTAATTTATAAATAACGTGTAGGATTATAGGATTTAGAAGGATAGCGATAGTTATCATTCAGCATTTTAGCTTTACAACATTCTTAACCTTTTTCTGTGTCTGGAATTGTCAGTTGCTCTGCTGGCTGGAAATGCTTCTCACTTATGATAATAGAGTCTTTTCAGCAGTGTCTGATATATATAATCATCTATATAAATATAAACTTTTATATTTAAAAGTTACAGTATGTATAATATGGATGATTCTTCTAAGGAAAAGAAGAATCCTCTGTTTGTTACAGTAGATGTAGTAAGCAGCATGGTGAGGACCTGTTTAAGAGTTGTAATATATAATAATAGAATCTCTCATTGGAACTGACAATGTAAGCTCACATTTTAAAGAAAAAATTCATTAATTTTAATCACACAATTAATATTCAATGTTCTCAATTAACTAATAAAAACTGAATTTCAGAGTGGAGTGTTTGATTATTGCGAATGATGCTACTGTCAAAGGTGGAACCTATTATCCAATTACTGTAAAGAAGCATCTACGTGCTCAAGAAGTTGCAATGCAAAATCATCTTCCTTGTGTATACTTAGGTAAGCATTAGGTTTTGAGGCAGGTTTTATTTTGTAAGAGACTATTGTTATAACACACAGTGTCTACGATACCCAGCAATTGGCTGTAAAGCCACACTACTTTCTAATTTCGTGGCAGAATATATAATTCAAGTAATCAACAGCCTTATCTTTGAGTTGACAAAAACGTGATTTATAATTGAATGGAAACCAATCTAGGGCATTGGGTTGAACTGATTTTGAAAATCTGGAGTTGCAAGGATAATGGTTTGTTATAATGACTGATGTCTGCTAATTTACTTATGATGGAAAACTATAGTCAACCAAGAGCCTGAGGTGTTAAGGATGATGGGAATGGTTTTTAAAGCCAAATGCTGAGTATTTCTTTTTAAAAAAACAGAACAGTAATAATTAATAATAATATAATAATAGCTATAAATTATAGAGTATACATATAGATCAATGTTTCTCAACCTTGGCAACCTTAAGGTATGTGGACTTCATATGCTGGCCTGAGAATTCTAGGAATTTAAATTCATGTGTCTTAAATTTGCCAAGGTTGAGAAAACCTAACATAGCTTGTTGAATAAGCACCCCTAAACATTGACATATTTCCTGGAGCTGAGAAAGAATCAGCACTTCTGGTTTGAAAGTTCAAACAATGTTGTTGAGCAATAAACAAGGCTTACTGTTGCTCATAATACCAAAATATAACATGGGTAGAATAAAGATGCAGAAGTTGAATTTAGTATATACTGTGCTGTAGTTTGTGAAACAGTACAGTATTACATCTCCACTGTAATACTATCTTCTAACTGTGTTTCAATATTTTGTTTCACTATTCAATAAAAAGATGACAGTCACATCTAATGGACAGCTGAAAGGAATGAAAAGAATAGCTTTAAGCAATCCATGATTGCACTAAAACTGGCTTGCTGTTCCATCTTCCACCTGGGGTTCTTCTCTTTTTGTCTGTAGGATTTGGAGGTGGTTTAGATTATGGATTGTGGATTGATGGTGAGGGGATTCCTTCATCCAAATAACTACCCACCAACAGCTCCTGTTTGCATTGTAGCAATGACAATGGCAGATTATGAACGTTGGGCAGAGAAACAAATCTGCTTTTTAATTTCCTCCTCCAGACTTGTCTATGGTATTGCTTCCTCTAAGGAATACTTTTAAATAAGATTTAACTGACATGCCAATTATTAATGCTCAAATTTTATTTGATCTTAGTTGATTCAGGAGGCGCCAACTTGCCTCGCCAGGCGGACGTGTTTCCTGACCGTGATCACTTCGGTAGGATTTTCTATAATCAAGCAGTCATGTCCTCCCAAAGAATTCCACAGGTAATTTTATTTAAGAACAAAAGCAGAAAAGTATTGGTGTCAAATATGAAGTTTATGAATACTAATGGAGAGCATGTGGATCATTTGGAACTGAGAACCGTGACCCGTCAAAACCGCGCTCGACTAAGCCGCGCCCAATTAAACCGCGTCGCTGACGTCATCAACAGG